ACGGCTCCTGGGGTGACGTCGTTCCTGGGGGGACAGTGCTCATCACCACGCAGTGACACCCCCTGGGCACGATGCTGGGCATTGAGGGTGATTTGACAGCTGCAGCCTGTTCCCAGGCCGTCACTTTTCTTGGGACAGTGCCACTCCCGGGGGTGACACCCCTCCCCTGGTGACACTGTTCTTGAGTTCACGCTGTCCTTGAAGTCCTGCTGTTCTGAGGGTGAGGCTGCTTCGCCCCGTGCTCCCTCAGCCTCAGGGTGATGCTCCCGGGCCACCTGCAGACCCAGAGGTCCGGCCCCTCCCCGGCAGCTCCCCTCCCCCCACAGGGTCGTCTCTGGGCTTTGGAGGGGGGTCTGAGAAACAAAGGGAGGCTGAGAGGCTAGGCCTCGGGGCTCCTCACTCCACAGCTACCTGTCCCACCTGGAGCGCATCACTGAGGAGGACTACATCCCCACGGCACAGGACGTGCTCCGGAGCCGCATGCCCACCACCGGCATCAATGAGTACTGCTTCTCCGTGCAGAAGACCAACCTGCGGTGAGCCCACGGCCCGGAGCTGGGGAAAGCTTCCCGTAGGAGGGGGCAAAGGAACTGGGGCCCTGAAGGATGAATAGGAGTTTCCCAGTACCAGTCCTCAAGCGGCTTCCAGGCTGAAGGAGGCTGAGCTGGATCTAGACACCTGGAGACCCCATGCAGTCAGGTGTGGGACCTGGAAGAGCCCGGAATGAGGCCACCAGAGGTCCAGGGGGGCAGGTCTTCCTGAAGGAGGGGACATTGGTATTGGGGCATTGAAGGTTGAATAGGAGTTCAGTCGGATAACTCGCAGGGCTGCTGGGTAGGAGGAGACAGAGACTGTGTGGTCAGCGGTTTTCCAGAGGGATCGATTTGGGCCTGGGGAAGCTCGGAGGGTGATCCCCCCGATGGGGTGAGGCTGGAGGTCAGGGGACTCGGGAGTGGGCGGGAGCCATGATCCAGGCAGGAAGCGCTGGTAAGGGCCAGGGCAGTGGTCGCGGGGATGGAAGTGAGGGATGGAGCAAAAACTGTTTCCGACGTAGAATGGGCAGGACCAGATGAGCCCAAGGATCAGAGAATCTGGGTGATGGGGTAAATGTCGGGTCACGGTGGTGGTGGCAGCGTGGGGGTGTTAGGCTAGACAATGATGTCCTTTGGGGCACGTTGAGTCTGAGGGATCCGGGGCATCTGGGAGGTGGCTAGACACGCACAGGCCCGAGCTGGAAGGCAGAGGCGTGAGTGGCCAGCGCAGCAAGGGGTCCAGGCAGAGTGACGGCCAGCGTCCGAAGACTAAAGGTGAGGTCGGGAAGAGCACGCCGGGAAAAGCGACTTCTGGGATTGGCGTTTAGAGGGTCATCAGTGACCTTAACAAGCTCCGTGTCTGTGGGCTGATGGCAGGGAGCTGTGGAGGGTGTGGGGTGAGGACTGGACACAGGGGTTGTGCTCACCTCACCCATACTGAGTCTCACACTGTCCTGAATTGATACCCCAAACGTGCTCCTCTGGCCTTTGCAATAGTCCTCACCAGGAAGGCTCATAATTTATCTGTTTGCCATCAGTCTCCTCCCCTGACGGAGAGCCCCACAAAGCTAGGGGCTGAGTTTGATTCCCCTGCTTTGCTAGTGATGATCAGCTCAAGATCAGGGTGGAAGTTAGTGAATGTGGGAGGAGAGTTGGAAAGATGGAAGGATAAATGAGTGGATGGATGGGTGAGTGTATGTATGTATAGGTGTGTGGAGGGTGGGTGGACAGGTGGGTGGATGGACGGAAGAGTATGTGGGTGGTTGGATGGATGGTTGGTTCAATGGTTGGGTGGATGGATAGATGGATGGATGGATGGATGGATGGATGGATGGAAGAGTATGTGGGTGGTTGGATGGATGGATGGATGGTTGAATGGTTGGATGGATGGATGGATGGACGGAAGAATATGTGGGCGGTTGGATGGATGGATGGTTCAATGGCTGGATGGATGGATAGATGGATGGATGGATGGATGGATGGATGGATGGATGGAATTGTATGTGGGTGGTTGGATGGATGGATGGATGGTTCAATGGTTGGATGGATGGATGGATGGATGGATGGATGGATGGACAGAAGGATATGTGGGCGGTTGGATGGATGGATGGTTCAATGGTTGGATGGATGGATAGATGGATGGATGGATAGATGGATGGATGGATGGATGGACGGAAGAGTATGTGGGTGGTTGGATGGATAGATGGTTCAATGGTTGGATGGATGGATAGATAGATGGATGGATGGATGGATGGACGGACGGATGGAAGAGTGTGTGGGTGGTTGGATGGATGGATGGTTCAATAGTTGGATGGATGGATAGATGGATGGATGGATGGATGGATGGATGGATGGACAGAAGAGTACATGGGTGGTTGGATGGATGGATGGTTCAATGGTTGGATGGATGGATGGACGGAAGAATATGTGGGTGGTTGGATGGATGGATGGTTCAATGTTTGGATGGATGGATGGATGGATGGATGGACGGAAGAGTATGTGGGTGGTTGGATGGATGAATGGATGGTTCAATGGTTGGATGGGTGGACGGACGGACAGATGGATAGATGGGTGGATAGATTGTAAAAGTTTAGGAATGAAGGTAGAGGTTGGGGAAGTCACAGGAAAGGCTGGGCTGAGGTGCTGACTTTTAAGTGAGAACCCTAGAGTGTTCCTAGGTGAAGAGAGAGCTAATCAGTGGGGTAAAGGATCAGAGGGATCTGATTAGGAGATGGGAGGCTGGCAAGTAACCTACCCCACATATATCTCAGTCCGCTAAGCCCCACTTGTAGCCACTGCACCCCTATCCCGCTCTGGGGTTGGAGGGGGTCTGAAGAGGCACAAGAGGGGTTGGTTGGTCTGCCGGATCAGGAGCCACAGGCACTAGCCTTGGCTTCCGGTCCATGCAAAGGGGCAAGTCCCTTCTTGCTCTGAGACCTCTGGCATTTCCTGTTGGCTGCCTGCGTAACAGTCCCATCCCCGGGGAAATGATGCAGGGCTTGTTATCAGTGACCCACATTTCTTAGAGAACAGGAAGGCGGGAGGGCTCAGGCTTTGTTGTGGTGTGGGGGGGGGGGGGTGGAGGCTGGGCTTTCGCCCCGGGCCACACACTGAGGGGATGGCGTTGTCCAGCCCGGACCGTGTGGCTGCATTTCACAGATGGGGAAACTGAGTTCTGGAGCTCTTCTGCGCTTTGCCCCCCCCTAGCCCCCCCCCCCCCCAGCCAGCCAGAACCAGGGCAGACTCCGGATGTGTCTGACCCTCTGCCCTCTAACACGGGGACAGAAATCAGGCAGCCCAGGGCAGAAGCCCGGCAAAATGTCCCCCTCCCGTGCCTCAGTTTCCTCGTGTGTAAATGGGCAAAATAGTAACGCCCACCTTGCGGGGTGGGTGAAAGGCAATTAACACACAAGGGGCGTTGGCCCAGGAGCTGGCACCGATTCTGGCTTGACGTGTCCCAGCTGTCTGGGGTGCCGTGTCACGGGGCCCTGATTGGGTCTGAGTTCTGACCCGGGCTGGCTCCTGGCAGGATCGTGGACGTCGGGGGCCAGAGGTCGGAACGGAAGAAGTGGATCCACTGCTTTGAGAACGTGATCGCCCTCATCTACCTGGCCTCGCTCAGCGAGTATGACCAGTGTCTGGAGGAGAACAACCAAGAGGTGAGGTCCACCGTGGGTGCGGGGGCACCGCCTCCTGCTGGCCTCCAGGCGTGCAGCCGAGCAGGACAGCCCATGGCCGCGCTTGATGGGGTCCGGGTGTGTCTGGCGTGGCTCTGAATCCCGCCCCCCACTCTTCCGTGGTCAGAGCGCTGCGCCCCGAGACACAGATACACACACACACACAGAGGGACGCCGGAGCCCCTGGACGCAGCCCCCCCCCAGGAAGCGCAAGGCAGCTGGCCTGGGAGAATGGGTCATTGCCTCAGGGGCAGTGTCCTGCTTTTATTCCGAAAGGCTGGACAACACTCTTTTGTGAGCTCTTCTCCTAATTAAGACCCGGCCCATTTTCGACCTCGGGGCTTTTAGCGGTTACGGTTCCACACGGACAGTTTGGGGATCCAGGGGTCAGATGCTGTCGTCCTGACTTTCAGACCGAATCAGACAGAATGAATTTGAGGTCGTTCTGCCACAGAGTTTGCTCCAAGGCAGCCACACGAGGTGTCCTAGTTTGCTGGGCTGTCCTAACAAAGTACCACAACCCGGGGGGCCGGAGCCACGGAGACTTTTCTCCCAGCGCCCGAGGCCACACACCCCGGATCCGCACGTTGGCCAGGCTCGGTCCTCCTGAGCCTGCGGGGGAGACCGTCCCAGGCGCTCTCCGCTTCTGGGGGTCACTGGCCATCCTTGGTGTCCCTTGTTCTGTGCACCCGTTGCCCATCTCCGCCTCCTGTGGTCCCATGGACTTTTCCCCACGTATCTGGGTCCAAACGTCCCCTCTTTAAAAGGACACCTGCCACCAGACGTGACAATCTAGAAGGACCTCTTCTTAACTAATTACATCTTCAAAGACCCTATTTCCAAATATGGTCCCATTCTGCGGTTCCAGAGGGGCGTCAACTTGGGGACACTAGTCGGAGCGGTACAGGCCACACAAAAGCGTGGGCCACCCCCTCCGGCCCAGCCAGGAATCGGGGAGCCCTGAGCTCCCGGACAGTAGGCTGGCAGCCCCCTCTCCACATGGGGGAGGGCTCGTGTCTGGACCAAGGCGGCCGTCGTGTTGGAGCCGTGGTCTGCCTGTTCCCCCTGAACAGAACCGGATGAAGGAGAGCCTGGCCCTGTTCGGCACTATCCTGGAACTGCCCTGGTTCAAAAGCACGTCCGTCATCCTCTTCCTCAACAAAACTGACATCCTAGAAGAGAAGATCTCCACCTCCCACTTGGCTACCTACTTCCCCAGTTTCCAGGGTGAGTGGTTCTAGAACTCTCTAAGCCCTTCAGCTCCAACGGGCAGCTCCCAGGAGAGATGCTGGTCCAGACCCTGCCCCAGCTGGAGTCAGTGGAGGTTCAAACGGGATCAGACAGACCTGAGTTCCAGACCCAAGCTGTGAGCTCCCTGCCTCTGGGGAGGATGGCAGCCATCATTCCCGAAGCACCTGCTTCAAGCAGGGGTTCTAAAGACGCAGGTGTTACAGATTCTCTGCGCATGGTCTGCTGTCGAGTTCATCGTCATGAGCCACACCTGGAAGGTGTCAACCTTTTCCGGACTCTGCCTGGGCTTTGTGAGAGAGACTTCTTTTTTTGAGTCTTTCATAGTCACTGCATCTATGTCTAATCAGATAGCAGAATATTTTTTTTTTTATTTATTTTTTTTTTTATTTTTTTCCGCTTATTTATTTTTTGACAGAGAGAGACAGAGCACCTAAGGCAGGGGAGGGAGGGAAGCAGAGTAGGAGAGAGACACAGAATCGAAACAGGCCTCAGCAACTTGAGCCATGCCCAAGGAGCCGACATGTGAGCTCAAGCTCACGGACCTTAAAAGACTCCTGTGCTGGTTTCGACAACCTAACTTAGAGCCGCCACCCAGGCTCCAGCTAGCAGAATATTTGTTGTTCTTAAGAGAGAGAAGAGAGGAAGAGGCAGAGGGGAGATGGAGGGGGCAGAGGATCACAGAGGGCTCCACATTGAAAGTGGGGGGCCGAGGGGTGGGCCGGACTTTATGGCTAGCCAGAAATCATGACCTACGGAATGGACGTTTCCAAGCGGCTGGAGCCACACGACCTGAGCCCTGTTAACAGAACAACAGGAAATAGCCGGTGCCTGACCTTTGAACAGAAGTCCTTCCAGGATAGAACGCTTTCACATGACACAACAGCCCCTTTCTGCTTGCTTAGCTGTAGCTGAACAGGTTTGTGCAGATCTCGCATCTCTGCTGAATTCGTGGACAGGGCGACCTCTGGGAGTGGGTTGTTTTGAGTAGCATGCAGCATCGGAGGGCGAGGAAGCTCTCGTCAGCTAGAGGATTACGGGGATGGGGCACAGGTCAGTGTATCCCGCAGAGGGGAGGTGGGGTTCGGTGGCCGGAAGGGGTGTATGTCCGCTAGCACTTTCTCACGTCCAGGACAACAGTCTGAGGTGGTGACGAGATAGCTGTCTCAGGGCCAGCGCAGCGCGTCGCGGGGGGGGGGGAGGGCCATCTCCCGAGCGTGTGTTAGCCTCAGAGCCGGATGTCACAGCACCTATTCTATGCTCAAAAGCCAATCAGTCGAGCCAGCTCCCATCAAAGGAGGATAAACAGACTTCTCGCCTTTGGTGGTACGGTAGCACATGCCATGTAAAGTGGGGCGGTATTGTCCTGGGGACGGGCTGGCTTCGTCTCCTGGCACCGCAAACTAGGAGGCTGAAAACAACAGACGTGGATCCCCATCAGTTAAGGCGACCAGAAGTCTGAAATGAAGCCGGGGTGGGTTTTTTCCGGAGGCTCTGAGGTCGGATCTGTCCCTGGTGTCTCTTAGTTTCTGGCGTTACCTGCAATCCTCGGTGTCCCTGGACATATGGACACATCCCTCCAATCTGCCTCTGTTGTCACATGGCCTCTCTCTCTCTCTGTGTCGTTCCTCTTCTTATAAAGACGCCAGTCATTGGCTGTAGGGCCCCCCCCCCAATCCAGTGTGACCCCATTTCAAGCTAACCAATTACATCTGAAAAGACCTTATTTCCAAATGAGGTGACGTGGTCATATTCTGGGGTTGTCGGGGGACGTTGGATTTGGGGGAACACTGTTCGCCCCAGTACGCAAGCAACGTGGCAGATGAAGGTCTTAAGCCCGGTGACATCACCACGGGCGTGACGCTTGGCCTTGTCAGGTCTCGCAGCCCACGAGGCCAATCTCAGCCAATCATCCCCAGGAGACTTAGGGGCCCGAGAGACAGATGGCAACCTGTCCCAGCATGGCGGACGCCCCTTGTTCCCTTCCCGGCTGGGTGGCCTTGGGAATGGGAACGTGGTCTGGAGAGTCGGGGGGGGGGATAAAGTGGGTAGTTTTGAGGGACTGTTTTCCTTCATGTCAAAGGAAACGCTCACGACTCACTTTTTTCTCCCAGCCAAAGGGGCTGCAGTACTCTGCCGACTTCCGGGTGTCAGTCCTTGCCTGTTGTGTACTGAATAACGTTTGTGATTATAACAGCGGCTAACGTATCTAACACTGCCGGAGGCGCCCTCACGTATGGACTCATTTGATCCTCGTTAAAAAGTCCTGTGCAGTGGAGCTCTTCCTCCTCACCGCTATAGAGGTGGGGAAACTGAGGCACACAGAGGGGCGACCACTTGCCAAAAGTCACACGGCCAGCGGGTGGCAGAGGCAGGATTCGAACCCAGGCTGTCTGGATCCGGAGCCACCAGCCTTAACCACTGGGTACCCTGCCTGTCTGGAAGAATCAGAAGAACATTTTGATTATGGAGCACAGAGCCCTCCACATGATTGCATTGAATCCTCACAACTCTGGGAGGCTTGGGGCTGTTAGGATCCCCATTTTACAAACGGGGAAACTGAGGCTCACAGTGCTAACATGGACTAACATATAAGGCAACCCAACGAGTAAGTTGGAGAACCAGGGCTTGGGTTCTAGAAGCCCTTGCCCACATTGTGCTTGGGAGAGAGAGAGAGAGAGAGACTGAGCATGGCAGGTGCCTCACCAGGGTGGCCACCCCTCCCCTTCTCTTGGCCTCGGTTTACCCCTCTGCACCTCTCAGGAATGTCTTTGTCGGCAGCTCTAGGCTCCCATCCCCTTAGCTGCAAGCCCAGCCAAGTGAGAGGGTTTCCTTCTTAAACACAGTTCTGCCTAAAGTCCCAGGGCCAAGTCTTATTGGTCCATTCCAGGTCATGTGACTCACCTGAGTCCATCCTCGACGATCCCATTGGCTGGACCTGATAGTCACGTGACCCTCTAGAAAAACCAAAGATGGCGCCGGCCTGCACCATGGCGCGTGGTTCCTGGGGCGCCTGCAGCCCCGTTGACGTGCACGCGTGGAGCAGGGTCTCCAGATCCCCTCCTTGACCCAGGAGACTCTCCCTCCTGCCCCACGAGCCCGTGCCCTGACTGCCCATCCCCCCCTCCCCTCCCCCAGGCCCGAAGCAGGACGTGGAGGCAGCCAAGAAGTTCATCCTGGACATGTACACTAGAATGTACTCCAGCTGCGTGGACAGCGCCGACGGGAGCAGGAAGGGTCCGCGCTCCAGGAGACTCTTCAGCCACTACACGTGCGCCACGGACACGCAGAACATCCGCAAGGTCTTCAAGGACGTGCGGGACTCGGTCCTGGCCCGCTACCTGGACGAGATCAACCTGCTGTGAGCCAGGCCCCGCTGCCCCCGGGCTCAGACCCGCGCGTGGCAGGCGGGACCTGCGGGCGGACCGGTGCTCAGGGAGCCCAGATGCCGCTTGTCGCTCGGCCCCAGGTCCAGGTGGCCGAAGGGCTGTGAGTGAGTCAGAGGTTGACGGCGGCGGGTCGTCGTCCCCCTCCTGTCTCTGCCCCTCACTAGGACATCCCCTGGGTTTGCCCCCCCCCCTTGACTCAGTTTACCTCCTCGGAAAGGGAGGGCAAGGGCCACTTGGGATGCCAGGGTCGGGGGAAAAGTGGGGCGAGCGGAGGATGTAGGATCTCTCCTGGGCAGAGGCCGGGACCTCCGCGGAGGGGCTGCCCCAGCCCGGTGACGGGGGAGTGGGCCTTCCATCGAGGGACCGGACTCTGGCGCCCCCTGGCGGACATGAAGCGGCACCGACCCGCTGAGGCCTGGGTAGCGCGGGGACTTCCTGTTCCCGGCTGGAAAAGCGCCCCGGAAAACGCTGTCCCTTTCACGATCTGAGGCTCACAGGGTGTCCTGCCCTGTTTACAGACGAGGGAACCTGAGGCCCACAGGCATCCCCCCGCTTCCCAGGCTGGGGGCCGGGCGCACCGCAACATCCCTTCTGTATTTATTCCCTCCCCTTCTGTTGCGCCCCTCGCAGGACATTAAAGAAACGACATTCTGGACACCTGTGGTTTCTTAGGGTCGTCCTGTTTATCACTGCGCGGCCCCTTCTCGGGGCGCCTGTCCCAGGCGGGGTGGCACCACGGAGCAGGAGGGAAGCGATCGTGTGGACGTGTGGGACGTGTAAGCCCACCCTGTGTTGTCACCCCAAAATTCCAGGGGCCCCCCACCCACCTCGGATGAAGGTGAAGGTTCAGACGTCGAGGGCTCCACTTACCCGGGACCACGGTCTCCCGCCATCCTCAGGGCCCGGCGGGTCACAAGCCCGCCCACCTCTGCTTTCCGATGAGGAAACCGAGGCACAGAGACACGGAATCATCTGACGAAGGCTCCAGCCTGCGAGATGGCAGGGCCGAGAAAGTGATGCATCCAACACTTTTTTTCTTTTCCTTTTAAACATATAAACTTCATGTTTCGGGATAGTCCCATTGACAGAAAAATTGTGAAGAGAGTACAGAGTTGCCTTACGAAACCACACTCCGTGTCCCCTACTGTTCGCATCTTATGTTAAGATGGTACTTTAAAATTTTTCTGATTTTTAATTTTATTTTAGACAGGGGGGAGGGGAGAGGGGCAGAGGGAGAGAGAATCTTACGCAGGCTCCACACTGTCGTTGGAGCCTGATGCGGGGCTCAATCTCACAACCGTGAGATCCCGAGCTGAGCTGAAATCAAGGGTCGGGCGCTCAACCGACTGAGTTGCCCATGTTTGTTTGGTAATTTTAAAGAACTTCTTGGTTTTATTCAGAGATTCGTGAATCGGGGAGCATCGCATCTGGCAGACAGATAGAAGCCCCTGGCTTGATTTTGATGAGCTTGGCAGGTTTCAAGCATGCTGGGCAGGGATTGCCTTGGTTTCCCGGGACCACAAAATAAAGTGCCACACACTTTGTGACTTCATGGCAGATTTTTACTCTCAGTGCTAGAGGGCAGAAGTCAAGGTGTGGCAGGGCTCTCTCCCTCCAAAGACCCCAGGGCTGGACCCTTCCCTTCCCGCATCTTCCAGCTTCTGGGGGCTCCAGGCGCCCCTTGGCCTTGGCTCAGTCCCTCCTGTATCTCCGCCTCTCTTCATGTGGCCCCTTCTCCCGTGCGTGTCCACGTTTTCCCTCCTCAGAGGGGACAGCGGTCGTACTGAATGGGGGCCCACCCTAATGACCTCCCCTCAACTTGATTACACCTGCAAAGACCCTATTTCCGATGAGGAAGTGTGGTCACGTGAGGTCACAATGAGGTCACGTGCCCAGCTATCGGGGGCGAGGACTCCAGATCTCCCTGCGGGTATTTCGGGGGTCGTCCCTCGGTGGAGGTTTGCCTGGCGCTTTCCTCGAGATTAGGCTGAGCTGGCGGGCTTCAGGGGGCAGGACCACAGAGGCAAAGGGCCACTTGTCCCTCATCGTAGCAGGAAGACTGGAGTGACACCGCTGTGGGCGTCAGGCCCCTGGCTGAGGGGTCGCCGAACCCTTTGAAAACCTTTTTTTTTTTTTTTTTCTGATCGTGGAAAATACCAAACCTATGAAAACAGGGAGGCGAGGCAAGGCCGCGCTGGGACTTCTGTGGGCTCAAGGCGTTATTGCTTTCATAGGTCTCCTCGTCCAGAAGCAACTGTTAAAAATTGTTTTCTTGTTAAAAAATTTTTTAATGTCTATTTTTGAGAAGGAGAGAGAGAGAGAGAGAGACCGTGCGCGCGTGGGGGAGGGGCAGAGAAAGAGGGAGACTCAGAATCCGAAGCAGGTTCCGGGCTCTGAGCTGTCAGCACAGAGCCCGACGCGGCACTCGAACCCACGAACCGTGAAATCATGACCTGAGCCGAAGTCAGATACTTAACCGACTGAGCCATCAGGTGCCCCTTAAAAGTTGTTTTCTTAACAACTGTGTTGGTAGAAAGACCAGGGAAATCCAGAGGGGGCTCACTGTTACCTATTCATGATGGTTGTATTTGTTTCCTTCTTCTAATTTCAAAAAGGAATGAAAGAGATTCGCACAGGCCCCTGAAAGTGTCATGGGCAGAAAGCGTAAGCTGACCGAAAACCCCCATCCCTATGCAGTCAGTTGGCATTGACCCTTCCTGGCTGGCCCATTTCTGGCCCTCCCTCCTCCCGGCCCCACCACACCTGCCTCGTGGTGACTCTGATTATCCTTGACCTCGCGCCATTTCATCATCACGCACTTGAGGGCCCCCTTCTGAGACAGAAGGCCTCCCTCCTCCAAAGTCTAGCTAGCCCGTGGACTTTGTTCCAAATTGGCCAGCCTCCCGTGGACGCCCCTTTCCCGGTCCAGGATCCCTGATCGTGCTGTGTTGGCTCTGTGCCCTCATTCCGGGGTGGCTCGTCTTTGTCCCACACGGCCCCTGGGAAGGGTTCTGCTCGGTTCCCAAAACTCGGGTTTGTCTGGTATTTGCTCTTGATTTGACTGACCCCGTGCATTTTTGGCAAGACTCCCTCGGGAGTGATGCTGGGGCCCGCTCAGCGTGTCGCCGGACTGGTCCCACGGGGGCATCACGTCTGCTCGCGGACGGTCAGATCCCGCAGGCGTTTTCTCACAGACAAAGCCCACACGTGGTGTTTGGCCACTTCGGAGACAAACTCTTTTCATCTGTAAGCATCCAACGACCCTTTTCTCGCTGCCACTGATCTGTCGAAGAAACCAGGTCATTTGTCCCGTATCCCAGCCTCCCGACTGGGCGAGTGGCCTCCCAGGCGTCGACTAATGTACTCCCTCCGCATTCCCCGGGACGCCTCAAGCTGATCTGTCTGGAAACGTGAGTGGACTTTCAGGACGAGGACACGGAACGCTTGCTTGATTCCTGTCCTGCCAGTCCCCGTGTCCACGTCCCTCTCCAGGAGACACGTAGCCGAACGTCAAGTTCACTGTCTCTCTTTTGTGTTAACGCTGATCCCTGGACGGAGGGGGCACCCGTCCGATTCGTCCATCACGAATTTCCCCCATGAGCCTTTCTCCTAACGGTCGTAGCGGCCATTGGAGAACATTCCTTCGACACAGCATTGGCCACGGCTAGAGCGGGGGGATAGCCTAATGCTTTCATTTTCTCTGCATTTATTGCCTGGAATTACTCTATTTTTTTTTTTAATTTTTTTTTTCAACATTTATTTATTTTTGGGACAGAGAGAGACAGAGCATGAACGGGGGAGGGGCAGAGAGAGAGGGAGACACAGAATCGGAAACAGGCTCCAGGCTCTGAGCCATCAGCCCAGAGCCTGACGCGGGGCTCGAACTCACGGACCGCGAGATCGTGACCTGGCTGAAGTCGGACGCTTAACCGACTGCGCCACCCAGGCGCCCCTGGAATTACTCTATTTAAAAACCACTCAGAAGAACTGAAAGGGTCTCGAGGCGATATTCGCACACCCGTGTTCCCAGCCGCGTCATTCACAGCAGCCGGGACGCGGAAGCAGCCCGCGAGTCCAGTGATGGGTGACGGAGAAACTCGATGCGGTCCATGCACACGCTGCGGTATCGTCCAGCCTTAAAAAGTTAAGACGTCCCGGGGCGTCTGGGTGGCTCAGGCGGTTGAGCGTCTGACTCTTGATTTCAGCTCAGGTCGCGATCTCGTGGTTCGTGGGCTCGACCTTGGGATTCTCTCCTCCCCTCTCTATCCCTCTCCTGCTCACTGTCTCTCTCTCAATAAATGCATAAGCTTTTTTAAAGAGTTAGGATATCTTGCCACCTGCCACCACGTGGACGGATCCGGAGGCCACCGTGCGCGGTGACAGGAGCCAGGCACAGAAGGATGCGTCCCGCGTGACCCCACGCACAGGGGGTCCCCAGAGGAGTCCC